TGATCCTACATCGCATTCGTCACTGTATATGATTTGGCTCGAATCATGGCCATTCTGCCCCTTGGCTCCCCCCTCTGCCTGCCCGCCCCAAGTCGATATGAACATGGCGTGTGTCCGCCTATGGTGTAAATGATGGTGCTTTTAAGCCAATATATAATGGAAGGGCACGTGTGTGCACTGAGCGATCGTGGCTCGTAAATATAATACCCCTTCTACCCCTTGTGTTGAGTCCGAGGCGCCTGAGGCTTTTCATTTGTGTATTTTCGTTTTCTTTCTTTTTTTTTCAATCGTACTGATTGGTTGAGAATCAGATTCTGTTCATCCCCAGCGGGTTCATGTCCTCGAATCCCTCGGGGCTGTGCCGCCTTTCAGGACGCACATGTGTTGGCCTCATCTCCCAGCCGTCGTTGGCAGGCGGGCTTCGTGGTGGCCGTGGGCTCGAGAACGACCGTTCAGGTGCGTGGTATCGTGCAGTCTGTCCGAAGTAATCGGGCGTTCTGCGGCCGCTCGGTGGGCTGGCAGGTGTTTTGACTGGGTCAATCGGTGTTACCGCAGCGCTCGAATCAACAGAGAGCATCTCGTACGCACGAGTATCTTTCTTGGCATCCTGCCGGGCGTCCACGGAAACGAATTCCTTCTTGCTGTCACCGCGGAACGACCTGAAGAGGTCGACCCAGCCGGTGACCATGGACCATCGTCCGAGGAGGATGAGCAACCAAATTCCGTTGATCTGCACAGAAATGTTAGTGGCATTCGTACTGGTTCGCCATTGCAAGTGGGCTCTTACCGCGAGAAGGATCAGCACTGCCGTGATGGTAGCTTCATTTACGACGAGAGGTTTTGCCAAATCCAGACACTTGTTTTTATCGCCGCTGGAACCGAAGAGGCAGAGGATCCAAGGTTCCGCAATGGTCTTGTCCTCGCGTACAGCTTGCACCGTGACGTCCTGGAAAACAAATATGACGGAGAAGAAGATGACATCGCAGATAATGATGAGCACAATCGTGATGCCTCTCCACTGTAGTGCAATGACGCGGCGCACACGTCGGTATGCTTGGCGCGGGGTCATGGTGCGCGCACTAGGGGCATACTGCGGCAGGCTTGATCCTTCGGTGGAAGCGCTGTTGTCGGCCAAAGAAGCTAGGTAGACTTTGATACAGTAGCCAAACGTGGCGAATTGTATGATGACCGTCAGGCCGGCAAAGACCAACAGAGGAATCCAAAAGGTGGCCAGACTATTCTCGTGGTTGATGTGGCAAGTCGCACCAAATCGGAAAGAAACTCCGCTGAAGAGGAGGGCAACGAGAAGCGCAATGGCGGGGAAACCCCAGCCGGTGGCCTGAGAGATGAGCATGAAGTTCCGGCCGACGACGGCCTGCCAGCAGATCTGTAGGTGAAGAGACACGGCTCGCAAGAAAACCCACATGACGCCGGCGAATCCGCCCAGCAGGAGGAAAGATCCGGAAGCGCCACAGACGCCGCTGGTGTGCATGTTGTGGGGCGTGATATCGTTGATACATTCTTGTGGCTGGGCCGCCAGAGGAATGACAAAGCCCATCTGGAACGGCTTCGAGTTAACATCTTGTGGCCTGGCATTGTTAAAGGGGGAAAAAGAAGACAGGAAGACTGACGTTCATGAGCATGACGGCACAGACGAGACTAATGCTCAGATAATGCCGGCTCGTCTTGTCGACGGGCAGAAACGCCCACGACAAGAGTAGGAAGAGGCAACACAGGACGCTGGCGACACATATCCAGTTCGCAACTGCTGTCAAGGTCTCAAAATAGTCAGGATATACCCATTCTGTCATGGGGCATGGCAGACAGCACGTCAGAGTCTTCGGTGATTGTCCTG